TATCTTGTCAAAGGATAGAAACCTACTCCTGAAGGGGAAGTTCCTTGAATAATGTTAGAGTAACTACTTGTCTCTTCTGAAGTGATACCTAACAAATAATCTAGGTCCCAGTGCTAGATATCATACCAATACAGAAACAAGCTGTTCTGCCTCAAACTACTTGTAGCCTGTAGCATTTTAAATGTTTGAGATTAGACCTAGGTAACAGTGCAACCACGTAGGAGATCTATATCACTTCCACCACGTCAGTTTTGTTCTGTGTATGTTACCTGTTCAGGGGTATTTGTGAGACAATTACATGTGTATAATACAAATTCTTGATATTATCAAGAGCTAATTTCTCATTTGTGATTATCATAACGTAACTCTTTGCATTTTGCATGCTCACAAGACGCTTGCATGCTAGCTATCACTGAAGCACAATTATATGTGGTGGTAGCCTCATTCGGACTTTCCTGTGATCATTCCATTTTTGAGAGAGCAAATCTTTCTCTTTTGCCAGTGCCGAAGTCTGAAGAGATGAACCACAGGCTGGGCGACCTGGTAGAGGAGTTTAAGCAGCTGGTTTATCCCCCTGATTACAATCCTGATGGGAAAGCTATAAGGCGAAAAGCAGGTAGGTAATGATAGTGCAGATGCATAACACTGTGGCTGTATTCTTTGTTTAGAGGCTTCTGCATTTTCAGTTTGTCTGAGAGTTTAGAGAACCTGCTTGTGCAACAACTCTCTTTACACATCTCCACAACAAAGAGGACTTATATCCAGCGGTGATTCTTAGGGAGTAGAGGATATTGTGGTATCCAGCTAGAGAACTGCTGGAATGAGAAACCACTTAGTGAAAACCCGTAGCAGTATAGGAAGCAATGTGGGTAAATTAGTGTGTGTGTGTGTATATATATATGTAGAGTACATATATATATATATTATTGTGTGTATTTATATATTTATTATCTTTGTTTTTTATGACAGAGTAGTAAAATCATTCTTGCTTTCAGTTTGTATTCCGGGTTGAGGAAGCAGACTTTTATGCATGGGCTATTTAGCAAGTACAAGATGGGCATCTTTAGGTCTAAATATTTAAGTAATGCTGACTACATGTGTGGTTGGAACTTTGCACAAAGTGGGAGCGTCAGTTAGCTGAGCTCCCTGTGAAATAAATGCATTCTGCTGTCTAGGTGAGAATCCCGTAACAGTTTCATTTGGGAGCTATTTTCCATCAGAACATGAAATTTCATACTCGAGTTTGAGATCGCTCCTGTCAATGAAATACAGTATCACCTACGTAGTGAGTGACACCTACTTTGTAAAACAAAATGCGGAAACTAGGTCTGTGAGCGTGTAGGTAGCTGTTAAAGTACCATGTGCTAACAGCCATTAACTGTGGTATGTATAAAGAAACGTTGATGTCTTGCTATTAAGAAACTTTTTTCTATCTTGGTGATCTAAAATTTATCTTTATAGCTTCTGATGGTCCAACTGAGAAGAGGCCCAAGGCAGAAGTCTCAGAAGATGAGCTGCGCAGTCATGTGCAGAAGGGCACTCTAGGCAAGCTCACTGTACCTGTTCTGAAGGACGCATGCAGGTTTTACCGGCTGAAGGGTGGGGGGAAGAAGCAGGAGCTCATGGATGCACTAACCGAATACTTTAATAAGCACTAAGCAGGAGCAGAAGGCCCTGGTTGAATTCCATCTGCTTAAAGTTTTGGTTGTCTTATGTGGATGCTGTGTCTGTTTAATCTTGCTGAATCTAGCAGCGGAGAAACTTTTTACTTTTAGGTGTGAAACGTGTCTGCAAACTTGGATTCTGTTCACGGTAGCCAAAGCCAGAATTAAATTCCCTGCTAACTCAGGTCACCCACTGCAAGTAAACACAGTTGTGCCTTCCTGGTTTTATAATAAAAGTTTTTTTGGACTTCGTACTTTGCAATACTGGCTATACCATCTTTGCATCATAAAGACAGCAAAACGCACTTCAGTATAAGAAAACAGAATGATCTGTGTTAATGGCACCACATGAATTCAAGCAGCAGGTCAGGTCTGTGTACTAAACAGAGGGTATAAATGTGGTGTATTACTCTCTTACTCTCTAGAACAGCCAGTCAGTATCAGTACTTGTAATCAAATTGGGTTCTTTTCCACCATCGGCATTATAAAGATTACCAGTGGATCATAAAGGAGAAAATCATTACTGGGAAGCAGTAGCCATTCCTCTGGGCAAAAAGCCAGCACTTCACCGAGGTGCACAGCCAGGTCTTCCATTTTTAAATGGTAATAGCAAAAGCTGGCTTAAAAAAAAAAAAAAAAGTCATGTTCCCTGGAAGGCTGCGAGCACTTACCCCAATTAAATTACTGAGATGGCATAGCGCTTTTCCACCTCTGTAGCAAGTATGAGTCAGACTATTGTGTAGACTTCCGTACTTAAATCTGTGCTTTAAAAATAGAAAAATAGCAAGTTGAAGAGAGCAGCCCTTGTTACCTCTGGTATTTTTATTTTTTTAATCGTACTTATGGAGGCTGCATCTGGGCTATGTTTTGGTTTTTAAACTTCCACACCTGGCCTGTCCTACTTGTCTTGCAGTGCAAAATGACTAGAACCAATAAACAGTCATTGCCTTTGCTCTAGGAAACAGTACTAACTGTTTAGCTAAACTGTAGCTTTCTATGGGATGCATGAGGTGTCCATTTTGGTCTGTGTGGTGTTTTAGTGTTCAGGGATTTCTGTGTTTGGCACACAAATTATTAAGCAACTTATCGAAGAATTAAGTCATCTGTTAAGGTTGCGCCAGTGCTGTAGTGTGGCACATGTATGGGAGCCAGCTGTGACCACTCTCTTGGCACTCTGACCACCCTTGCTGTGCCAGTACGCTGCTCACTTCTACCTCCACAGCTCCTCAGAAAAGCAGTTAGCCCATGTTGAGCTCTGCAGTATTAAAGCTGTGTAGTCTATTATACTTCCAATCACTCTGCATCATAGTACTTATTTTTAATAAAGATTTGTCTAAGCAATCAATTTATTTTGCCCTTCAGCAAAGTTACTGTAAATGCTTGTCTTGGCAAGACTTGAACGCAGTAAAATAGTGAGACTATCCTGTCCTTAATTCTGTGCATGTTCATTCCCCAAGTGCCTTTGTTAACTTCTCTCTTGGCTTGCTAACCCCTAGGCACAATGTTTTCCAGGCTTTGGATGATTACAGCATGTTTTCTCTAGGTTATTAGATCTTCCTCCTGGCCTTTTTTTTTTAAGCAGGCTGTTGTAGTAAACAGAAATTCAACAGGTATGGTGATGGAAGGCTTCAGAGCAGAAAATTAAGATAGTTTTGCTTGCTCAAGAATCCTTTATTTCTGCTCCTTATGTGCTTTGTCTTACATCAGCTGTCTTGGCATGGTACAATAGGGAAAGTCCTTTGCAAAGCTGTGGTTTTAAACACAACTAGCTCAACAGTCATCATCAGTAGAAGTGAACAACAGCATTTCTAAACTTTTATACAAATGAAAGGGCTCTAAAATCTTTCTATTAGGTTCACCTCAGGAAGGATATTAGTGATCAGCCATTTACAAAAATACACAGACATGATTTGTTACCAGTCTTTCGTGAGCCGGTTTCACCTGCTTGGGATGTACTTACTAAAGGTATGAAGTTAGTGTCTCTGTGGAAACATTACAGGAGAACTTATTTTCCCTTCTGCTGTTGTACCTATTGGTCTTTCTGTGCTAGCTGTGCTTTGGCATGCTGCAATACAAGATAGGTTTGATATGACCCATTCCAACACAGAGGTTTAGACTTCTACTCAGAGCAGTAAGTGGATTTATTACACAATATGCATATAACTAAAGCTAGCTCCATAAACCCACCACTAATCCAGAAATCCTGGTGGTGCTTCACGCTCTTCTAGAACATGAGATTATCTAACATTCTCTTCTTGAGATACAGGTTATTTTATCTGAAAAATTACTTGCTCTCTGTTGCCTTGGCCATGACTTGAAGGGTTTGTCTTTAGTCAGGTGACTATAGTACAGCAGCTTTCCTAAAAGCCACAGGTCAGCCACACTTACTTGTCAGCCACAGCAGGCTGCTCTCTACCATGTGCTTTGTACTTCAATGCCATAGGCAGCCCAAGCTCATTGATACAGTCCACAAAGAAAATCTGAAGGAGTATGAACTACTACACTGCAGCAGCCTTTAGGCCATCTCTGAGCGCTTTAGTTTTACAAGTAGGAACACTTCAGTTAGTTGCAAATGCCTCCCCGAGGGAATGACAATTATATTTAGCTTTGTCAGCAATTTTATTTTTCTTAAAAAGTCAGTATTTAAAAATAAGCGAGGTAAGAGATTTCCCCTTGTGCGCTGCCATAAGATTTCTGCTCCCCGTACACCTCTTACAGAAGTCTCTCGTCCAGTTTCAGGAAGGGCTGTGCCATGTGTACTGATCTTGTCTCAGTCCACTGCTACACAGTAGCTGCTGCCTGCCTTCTACATGGTGTATGCTCCGTCATCACTTAAAGCAACAAGCCCAGCAGTCTGCATGCACACCCTATGCAGGGAACTGACATGCCTTATCCTCAGTAGACTAAACCATTCAGAAACAGAGAGTTACTCACACCTGTTAGAGGCTGAAGCTCAGCAGAAACACTGCAACGCAGAGTAAGCTAACGGGTAGGTTAAAAAAAAGCCCTGGGCAGGCAGACATGGAGATAAGGGGGCAGGGGGAGGTGGGGTGGTGATCTTGTTTTTCTTTTTTTCTTTCTTTTAAGCATCAAACAGGAAATACAGTTGTATAATCACTTTTCAAAAAGTAATACAAGGAGAATGAATGTGTTGGAGTAGAATTATAGAGAAGAAGGGGGAGGAGAGAAACACTCAGAATTAAGCCATTATTAAACAAAAATGTGGTGTTTTGAAATGAAACACTGGTATCAAAACTATTATCTCAACTGAAGCTAGACATTAATTCCCCCTGACTTCAACTTTCCTATTCCACACACGCTTAAATGCATGGGCATTTAGACCAACAGTCTTTCTATAGCTTGCTGGACAGACTGGATCTGAGGCTTTAGCTGCGATCCTTCCTTGATGGTGATGGAGCACGCGATGACTGGCCGGGAAACACCACATGCCCGCCCCAGGGCTTGCTTGGAGCGCACAAACACATAAGGTACATTCTTGTCCTCACAGAGAAGAGGGAGGTGCAAGATGATTTCCAAGGGCTCCGCATCTGCCGCCATCACAATGAACTCCGCTATCCCTCGGTTCAGTGTTTTGGTGGCTGTGAAAGAAACTGAAGAGTTAAGTCTAGGTCCTTCTAGGAAGCACATCTAATGAAAAACGTTAGGAGATGTTGAAATTGGCACAAAAAAGAGGATCTAGTGGTAGCATGAGGACAGGCCAAAGGAAAATGGCAGCTATAGGGCCAGGGAGGGGGTTATTCACAGGGTCGCACCTGGGGTATTCTGCACAGCATTGCCGTCAAGCACAGCAGAGAGATTCATGAGGGAGCAAGACCAGCATAGGGCTGCTGGTGGGTAGGGGGCTGCACCATGGATGAGGGGAGACTGAGGGAGCTGGGTTTGGTTAGCCTGGAGAAGAGAGGGCCGAGGTGGGAGCAGGACAGGGGATATAGCTGCTGTCTTCTACTACTACTTCAAGGGAACTGCGGAGCAGATGGAGCCAGACTGTCCTCATGCGTGCACAGGAAAAAGGACAAGTTGCAGACTGTGACTGTTAACTCAGGGAGATGCTGGGGACATGCTGGAATTTTACATCCGCCCCCCTGTATGAAGAGTTTAAGCCATGGGACATAGGTGCCGAGAGATTGTGGAGCTTCTATCATTACGGATTGTTTTTTTAGAAGCGTGACTAGGCACAGCCCTGAGCAACCTGATCCAACTGCGAAGGGAGGTGCTCTCTAGAGCAGGTTGCACTAGAGACCTCCAAGAGGTCCCCTCGAATGCAAATCTTTTTATAATTCTAAACTGGCTAGGCATCTGGTAATCCCAGTGCCACACCACCACATGCATGATCAAAGGACACGCACCAGGAACATGGTTTGGGCATCTACCAGAACTGTATATAAATGCTGAAGAGATTACAGCTTAGTTCTGTCCCTGAATATTGCTTAAGCAAGCTAGAAGGAGGAGGAAGGAGAGGGACACTCGCAATATCCAGATCAATGTACCGTTAGTGGCTCACCACTAGAAAGAAGAGACAACTTTAAGTCACAGCTTCTCACAAAATCCTTGCTATGATTTCTAGCACACTTTGCAACACACAGGTCTCACCTTCATTGGCTCCCTTGCGTAGCTGCTTATAGTTGCAGGATTGCTGCACAAGATCCAGCAGCGTTTTGGTGAGCTGTGCATCAGCCAGGGGGTAAGCTTTGGGATTCACTTCTGCCTCACTCTAGAGAAAGGAAAGAGTATTAAAAGAGGAGCAAAGGAGGCTTTGTTCTGAACAACACTACGCAGGCATCACGCCCACCACGTATATTGGCTGCTGGAGTCACCTCACCATTCTCAGCTGCTCTGCACATGCACTAAAAATCCCACAGCATTTTATTTATAAAAAGGGATTCTTGTATTCAAAGTAATAAACAGCCAATTTAGATGCTGCAAACTAGCAGCACTGAACTTACAGGACAGTCTTCAGGCATTTGCTACCACAGATACTAGATAAAATGAAGCGTTCTGCTGCACAAGGAACAAACACCTGCCAGCAGCAAATTAACAAGCTCAGACATGAGTTTTCAAGAAATCCCGAGAAGAGCACGTATCAGGTTTGTTTCTGCAAATTACAAGTAGCTTCTAAACGTTAACATCAACGGCGTGGTGGAACAGCAAGGAAGTCACAAGCGGCACTGACAACCGGCACTGGCAGAACGGGAACTTCTGCAGCTCCCGCCGCCGCCAGCACCTGGCAGGGTGACC